GCGCACTGGGAATCAAGCTGTTCCTTGTCAAAGTTTTGGAGCACTTCTCGTTGAAGGCGTTATGAAACAGCTTTTCACGGGGTCGACAAGATGGGGAAGATACCACCCAGTACGAGCGCCATCTGGAAAATGAGTTCTACAGGTCTGTGACTTGGATCTCTTTCTCTTGTGACAGCAATGTGTTGCAGGTCAGTATTCTCCTTGCTTGAGCTTGGCATCTCGCTCGTTCCAGTGTCAAAGGCTTCAGTGATTGGCAGAGGGTGTATGAGTGTTAGTGTCTTTTGACATAAAAGAAAAATATTTTCCTTAAGTTGGTGTATTTTTTATAAAGTGTGCTTTTATGTGAAGTGAACTAGTTAAGTTGAAATTATTAAGAAACCTAAAAAGTAATAACTTCCTACTGTCATAAGAGAATGTCCAAAACAACTTGGCTGATAAATATTTTTTAATATCAACTAACAAACCATCAATGATGTGCACTTTGATTGGATAAACATAAAGTAGGAATTCCTATATATTGTTTGTTGAGCATACTCAACTTGATATAAAAAACTCATATCATTAATTTGCACTTGCTACTATCAAGAACTTTATAATATTGATTTTAGTTCTTTAATATTGTTACATGATAGTTTATTGTATCACTTGTTATCATACCTTATCTGTTGGTTCAATTTAAATTCCATATACTATTTATGGTAAATGTTTAGATCTCCTAGTAAGGTAAACCTACGTTTAATGCTATAATAAAATTTCAAGTTAAATCTTGGGATTAGGGCAAAAGCCTAAAATGTAAGGGAAAGGGGTTTAATTGTAAATATATAATAGTTATAATGGTTAAAAACATAGTTGTGTTGCTCTTTATTCTGTTTTCAACTTGGGTTAAAATCCAAATTTCATATTGCTCTAATCAGTGAAGTACTCACCTCTTCTCATTATGCAATTGAAGTTTGGTATACATTCAAAATCCTCCATAAATATCAACTCTTACACATAAAATAATGTTAGATGGGGTTTGCACAATTTCAGCATATTTGCTTTGTAATGTAATAAATTTGGAGTTCAACTCAAAATTTAGGTGTATTACATAATTACCCTTGGCCATAGTTATCTTAAGATAGAGTGAAGGGTGAAAACCACATCACTAGATAAACCTAAATACTTTACAGAAGATTAAATGATTATTTAAATTTTCATTTCAACAATTATGTGTATGCTTAATTGAATTTTGTATGGGAGGCTAAAGTTAAAAAATTAAAAATAAATATATTAAAAGGCATTATAAGGTTATTTAGGAAAAAGAAAATTACTTTTTAAAATATCAAAGGGTTTGAAAACTTAAAGACAAGTTCTATAGTGAAGGAAAATCAAAACAAAAGAATTTGTAATAGATTAGACATTTGGTAATAAATTTGGAAGTATTAATAATAAATATTTGAAACAAAAGTATATTGACCACTTAAGAGGTTAAACGATTTGATAAGATATATTGAGATACATTCTAATATATAGGTAAATATATATTTATTACATTATATATATATACCATATATATATACCATAATATAATATATGGACAAATAGTTAAATCAAATCAAAATACATGTAAAACTATAAGAAAAAATTATATGACTATTCTTCTAAATTACATGGGAAATTATATTTTGAATGTTATAATTGACTATATAATTTACCATACCTCAAATTTACAAGTGAACTAAGGAAATGAACAAAGAATAAAAATCCCACACACAAGTAAGGATATTATAAAAAATGTACTCTTTTAATTACACTATAATGATATTTTGATATATAAAAATAATTCTTTAGATGAATTGTGCCTGCTGTAATAGTAATGTATCAAAATTATGAAATTAAGTTGAAATTGTATATTTTTAGTAATATATTAGGAGCATTATAATATTTTTAAAATAAATTAAGTATAAAATTCAAAATAGATAGTTATGTAATTATTTAAATTTCTAAATTTTCTAATTTAGGAAAATTAGATTTCAATACCATCTTAGTATTTAATAATTAATAAATTTATATGACTTCTTTTGAAATTAGTGGTTATTCCCTTTTGTCTCTTCCATAATTTTACTTTTTTTATTTTTTTACAAACAAAAAGTAATTTATTTTTTATAAATTTTAAATATAAAAGTAAAAATTAATATATATAATAAAAACTTATTTAAAGAATATAAAAGCTTTACACTAGTTTTTGAATTTGAGCCCAGCTCAAAAATGTGATTTTTAGAGGTTTTTGAAAAGAAAAATACTTAAAAATTAAATACTAGGCAAATGTAATTTGCTTATGACATCAAAGCAAGAACATGTTAGGAAGATTAGTTCGGTGCTGAATCGATCTTCTAGTGCCAAGAGAAAAAAATAAATGAAAAGAAGTAACTCCTTTTTTGAATTTAATATAAAATATATTATAACTCAAAAGTTTATGGAAAGATTAAATTACCTTTTTATATATAATGAAAAAACCAATTTAATCTAATTAATCTAGAAGGATAATTTACTATTTTACTAAAAAGTATTAACCTTTTCTCATTAGACATGAAATGAAATGTTCTATAAAAAAGATTTATGAAATATTAATAAAAAATGTAAGAATGTTTTAAAGTTATTCTTTTGTCACGGATCTTAGTTTTTTAGAGTTTAAGAGTGTGGGGGTAGAAATGGACTTGTTTGAGCTTGCTGTGGCAAAACATTTGTGAAGATTGTCCTCGCTACGACCTTGAAGATGAAATCTTTTTTGCACATTTAAAAACTTTATATCTCGTTTGATAATGCTAGAGTTAAGGCTCTTTGGGTGAATTAATAAAGTGGTTATTATTGTATTTTCTTTTAACTTCAAAATAACAATGATTTTTTTGCATTGTTCATCATCTTACAGTGCCTCATCCTAAGGAACAAATACAAAAAGGAGCCAATAGCAATAGAGGATGAAAGCACTTGGCGAAATTGCTAAGTGTTATATGAGGACATCTTCTTTATGATGTAAATGTTCTATACAAATGCCAAGTCGATCTAGAACCCCGCCGGAATATGCTACTCACAGATCCTTAAATCTGTCGGAATATCCCTGATACTTTGAAATTCCCGCGGATGATTTATTTTGTCTCCATACTTTAGCCCCTTATGACCAATGGATTTCAATAGGGTTTATGGGGAAGAGAATGCTAGTGTGGGGGAAGAAATGGGGCTGGATGGAGCTCGCCAGGGCCGCATTCGCGGTAGCGACCGTCGGGATCGTCCTCGCCGCGATCTTGAAGATGCGCATCTGGAAGCACTACACTTCGTACGCTGACGCTGAGCTGTGGGTGGATATTACGGTCCTCCAGGCGGCTGTTCACGATGGCGCTGGTAAAAGACCGATCGATCTTTCTTGGCATTCTGGATTGATCGTCTTTCTCTTGCGCAGTGTGTCTGGATGGCAGTCCGCCTGCGTATCACTGGCATCCAGGCACTGGATCTGGTTCCAGGAACTGGATCGTGTTCTTGGAGGTGAGCTTTAGCTCGAGAGATTTTATTTTATTTGACAGATTCTTTCAGGGTGGAGCATGGTGTTCCGATCACGCATCTTGTGCACAGCGCGCTCGAACCTCCTTCGGCTCCTCCGATCTCATGGATAGACAGACACGGTTTCTCGGGATTCTCAGCAATTCGGCTCAAGAAAATCCAGGTGAGTGGTTTTTCTTTCCAGTAATGTGGATTGATTTTGCTACTGGAGGTTTAGATTTTTACAATTGGAACCGGGTGAAAGTCAAGTACTGTGATGGAGCATCCTTCACAGGAAATGTGAATACCACGGTGACGGTGGCCTTCGACAGCGATAGCCAGCAGGCCTTGGGTCTCATGTATAGAGGAGAGAAGATATGGAAGGCGGTTATCTCGGATCTTTTGAGCAAGGGTATGAGCGACGCTGAGATGGTTAGTCCGGATTTTTTCTTTACTTTTGGTAGTTCTTATCGATTCCAATTATGTAGGCACTTCTAGGTGGATGTTCGGCTGGAGGTCTAGCGGCTACTCTTCATTGCTCGAGCTTTAAGGAGCTTTTGCCACGGACGACATACGTCAAATGCGTCAGCGATGGAGGATATTTCTTGGATGCGTACGTGAAGTTCGGTTTCGTTTAAAGCAGCTGTTTCTGATGTTTCCAAGCTCTTTGACAGGAAAGATATAGCAGGCAACTTCTCGTTTCGTTCCTTTTTCAAGGACGTGGTGGATATCCATGTAAGCGTTTCGTTTCAGCATTTTTGTTTCCACACTCAAGCATCGTCGCAGAATGCCCGAGAGAACCTGCCAGAAGCCTGCGTTGCAGAACACGATGCACAGGTATTTCACAACTCCTTTTCTACGTAGCTCTTACGTCGCTTGTTCAGTGTTTCTTTCCTCAGTACGTCGCTCCTCACATCCACGTCCCCATTTTCTTTGTCAATCCAGCGTATGATGTTTGGCAAGTAAGCGCAAAAGCTAAGGCTTGTTCCAAGGAAGTGACAAATTCGTGTGAATCCTCAGATCCAGAATATTTTCATTCCAGACGCAGCCGACCCTGACAGGAAGTGGACTACTTGCAAGTATAACCCGTACGTCTGTTCCCAGGATCAGCTCAGCGTTTTGCAAGGTATCAATCAATCACGTATCTTTTTCGATGCATAAATCCATGGGCTCCCAGGTTTCAGGATGGAGTTTCTAAAGGCCGTGGAATACGTGCGAGGTGTGGATCAGAGTGGTCTCTTCATAGATTCGTGCTTCAGTCACTGTCAGCTTGAAGGGTTAACTTGGAACACAAACACGATAGGAAACAAGGTCTGTCGATATTCTCATTTCACGTAGAATGCTCACTCTTTTGGTTTTGCGCAGACGATAAGAGAAGCCTTCGGAGACTGGTACTTCGCAAGAGGCGGCTCTTCGTATAAAAGCATCGACTGTCCGTATCCTTGCAATCCAACCTGTATAAAATGGACTAGCTGGAGACACTGAGCTGACGAGGTACACAAGCCAGAAGATGGTATTTCACGACTTTAAGTACTATTTTGCAGCTCCAGCCCCCAGCTCGGCGAGTTTTTCTTCCAGCTTGGCGTCAAACTCGGCCCGCATCTCATCCATGTAGCGCGAAACAACCTGGTTGACTTTTCTTGTGATCTCGTCCGGGATGGACGCTGGAAGCGGCGAGAACCAGCTTAGCATTGGAGATCCAAGCCGAAGTAAGTAGCCTCTACCTCGATACTGTGCCTCGATCCTGGCTTGCCTCTCGGCTTCTTCAGCCAGCCGCTTGTCTTCGAGCCTTTTTGCTTCTTCCTCCTGCGCAGGAGAAGATTTTACTCGTAAGGCTTGTGAAATTTCGTCGCCCACCTCTTGCTGTTTCCTGAGAGCTTCCTGTTGGACGTCGTATTCCTCCTGTGTTATTGCGAGATCTAGCGATTTTAGCTCCGGGGCTAGCTCTACGAGATTATACTCCCAAGTGTCCATGTTGAGGTAGTAAGTCGCGCAGAACGCGTATTGGTAGAGCTTGAAGTGTCTGTAGTATCTGTGAGAGGAAAGAGCACAGGAGCTGGACTCATCGAGTAGAAGCTTTTGAAGCTGGGAAGATTGTTTTACGTGTTGAGGACGTATCTCGTTATCTCTTGGAGATCTCCGAATGTAAACAAGCCGATTGAGAATGGTGGTCGCTGGACGCTGTGCAAGAGAAAGAGGTTCTTTGCTGTTTCCCAGCTTCTTTCTACTGTTAAACGCATGCCTTTTAAGGCAAAAAGTGAAAGAAATTAGTAAGAATGGTTGATGGAGGATTTACCAATGGCTTGGTCGTGAATTGCCTTGACGATTGAGACGAAGGCTGACATCTTCTCAAGGGAGAAGCCCTGTTCCTGTGCAAAGCTTGACAAGGATTCGAGAAGCCAGTGAGTGAGAAAGACATGTAGAAAATCCTACTAGAGGGAGCCGTAGTGCAAGTCAAGCAGTATCTCGGAACAAATGCTTCCATCATTCAGCTTCATCGCTTCTCCTAAATGCCTAAGATCCAGAAAGCCATGAAGGGAGAAAGAAGCTCAGGCATGGAGCTGTTTGCTTACCTCCGCACGTCACTTGGGGTCTCCGAGTCATCAAAAATGTGAGCCAGCTCTTTGTGTGACAAGTCGCGCCAAGCCAGACACTCGGCCTGCATTATCCACTCGTTAGAACAAAAGAATGAAAGAAATTTGAAGAACACTCACCATCGTGGAAGCAAAGTTTTGCACCACCTGAAACCGGAGAAACCTAAATCTGATTCCAGAAATGTCAGTTAGTGAAGAGAAATCTCAGCCGCTCATCCCATCTTCGGCCGAATCATAGCTTCTTTGTTTCATATTTTTTTTCCCCGGGAACTCCAGTCAAAGGTCGTTAGTTTCACAAGAAAAGTATTAGCAAAATCCCTTTTATGGAAGTGGACCTTTGGGATTGTGAGCCTCGATATCTACATGCCGAACGCCAGGAACGATCTTCTGGATGTCTTTCTCTAGTCTGTCCACTTCGGAGCCAAGAGCAGCCACCACTTCTTCTCCTGCAAGAAAACCATAAGAACAGATCTAGCCTGGAGAAAATAAAATTTGCATTACCGTAGTTTGCAAGTGCGGTCTCCAAAGCAGCAGGGTCTTTCGCAGCATTCTGAAACTAAACAAGGAGAACGAAGATTGATAAAAAGTGAAAGAGGGCCAAGTCACGAACAGACCTCCTTTATCCAGGCTTCTCGCCCCGTCCGTTGCAAGTAATTATGTACAACTACTACACCGTCAAAATCTGCGAATGGACAATCTTAGCGCAGTTCGTCGAGATCAACAGACGTTACCGATTTCTGCCTTGAATCTGTACGATCCTGGCCCGATCACCTCGCTCTTACAGTCATAGACCGCATCAACAACCTGCATTTTTGCTTAAGTTTGAGGCTTGAAGGTCTATAGATAGCTCAGCTTACAGGATCTGATGCAAGCAAGTCCAACACGCGTTGCACATCCTTGGGTTCCATTGAGCGACCAAGGAGAGCATGGCGATTTCGTTGAATCAGAAAAACTGCCACCTGTTCGTGTGTGGGCACGGGTTATGTTCATGTCTTGACTAACACAATCTTACCATTCCGAGAAGATTTCCCACGAGTATAGATCCAAGAGGGTCCCAGATTGGATTGCCTGTTAAATGCACAGCAGTCAGCGACATACCAGCTATAAACAAGCCAGTGACCGCAGCACCATCCTGAAAATGATTCGAAGGTAAGACTCTAGAAATGAATTGTATTATGGAATACCTCCATCATGACAGCCACGGATGTTGGATCGTGACCACGCCAAATGTACTCTTGAAACTTCATTCCTTCCGACGCAGCTCCTTGCCGCACAGCGTTCACAGCCACGTAGAGTGAAGCTCCTGCAAGGAGCACCGTAATAATCCGCGCATACATTTCGTCATTACCTTCCATTAACATTGAACCACCAATGACAATGGCAGCAGAAAAGATGTTGTCGATAGGCTACACACACAATAAAAAAAGGACGTTACGTGCAAAGCCTGAAAAATAGAACAAAGATACCTCAGCTTGCCATAAGTTGGAAATTCCGTGGACAATTGTTGCGCCAGAGCCCAGACAAAATATCCCGACAGCTGATATCAGCGACCAAACGAAGCGTTCTTTGGAGTAACCATACCTGAAAAGCGAACAAACAAACCGTCAGTATAAATGAAAATTGGAATGGCAAGTGGAACTAACACTCACGGATGAAGAGCATCTGGAGCACGCTTTGAGCTGACGAGACCATACGCAAGCAAACCCTGGAAAGAAAAATCATTCTGGATAAGCAAAAGGCTGCTATCAGAAAATTCACGAGACCTGGTTCGCTAGATCCGCTAGAGAATGTACTGCTTCCGCGAGCATAACATGGCTTCCAGTCATAAACCAGACGCCACACTTTAGAGACAGAACTAGAAAATTGCACCAAAGCGCAGTCACTACAGCCCTTTCACTGCCACGTAAAACAATATACGTGAAGAACTATAAGAGAAAGGAAAGTTTGTAACTTCACCTATGGCCATGAACTACGGCGGGTTGTGGATCGTTCTCTTGTTCTTCTTCGTCTCCTCGATGAGACGTGCCGGAGCTGTGAACTACACACAAGCACATATTAAGGAGCGCAAAATGCCGATACTGGCAAAATACGGGCAATGCTGGAACTTACATCGTCGCTGCTCGAATCGGAATGATCCCCGAGAATATTTCGCGATGAAGTACGTCAGGGGCGGCCTGGCATTGGAATTCTCCTCACGGCCGTCGCTCTTCCGCAAATCAGCCTCCTTCCTGTAGCACGACACAAGAACGCTGCGCCGGATCCCAAATACCTCGCCGCATTCCTCACCCAGCAAGCTCCGGCCCGGTAATCCGCGGCAGCGCTGCGCGCATCGACAAACCCTGGCTCTGGAGCTGGAAATCAAGCTAGAAAGCATCGCCGCGAAGACGCAGCATCAAACTAGGGCTCATAGACGAGCCATAAGGCGGGACTGGATCTTCGTCCGTGGATATACCCTGGAAATATCTCATACAAATGATCCAAGGCTCGATTCCTCTTAAGCCATCACTCCAACGATCAATCAAAGGCAAATAGTACACTGCCGTGTCAATGCCAGGCTTTGTTTGAAGAGAATATTTCCAGCAAGGAAAGTCGAGCTCCGGCTATGGCTGGCAATGGCGGATCATCCTTGTTCTTTCTCTTTTTCCTCGTCGATGCTTCGATTTCTCTCGCGTTCTTGCTGGATTTCGAGGGAGCTAGCGATCTTGATCGCAGTCTCTACCATTCTCCAGCGTTTCTTGCACGGGACTACCAGGAGTTTCTAGATCGCTTCAAGGTCTACGTCTACCCGATGATCCAGAACGCCAGCGCTCCAGATTTGCGAGATGGGAAGGCAGCACGGCCAGGTTCGATAGATCGAGTCTTTGTGGATTCGCTGCTGGCCTCAGGGTTTGTGACGGATGATCCGGAGGCGGCGGACTTGTTTCTCCTGCCAGCGTCAATCTCGGCGATCTGGAAGAAGAGGCCCGATCCGAAAGGGATCGCTCACTCCCTCAAGTCTTACATCCAGCAGCTGCGAGATCTCTACCCGTATTGGCAGCGATCGCTCGGGGCGGATCACTTCTTCGTCTCGTGCCACGATATTACGAGCGACTGGTCCAGGAATGTTCTTGAGCTCAAGAAGAACGCGATCCAGATCGCCTGCTTTCCACTGGCCAGGCATGGAGCGCAGGAATTCCTCGCGCACAAGGACATTACAATGCCGCCCGCAGGAGGATCGATCGATCCTCCCCAGCGCCGTCGGTGGAATCTCGCGGTGTACGATTCCAGCTCCCAGGGCTACGCAGCGAGGGATGTTCCAGCGTCTTGGAAATCCGATGAGAGCTTCGTCGCTGGCGCAGTGGCATTGGATCTACAGCTGCTAGTGACAACAAGGTTTTGTCTCAGCCTTGGCTCCAGCGATCGGCACCTCGTCATCCCGGCCGTCCGATCGGGATGCATTCCGGTCATCTTCTCCGCGGGGAAGCTGTCCGATCTTCCGTTCCAGGACATTCTGGACTGGAATAGCTTCGCGATCGTCCTCAGCCGCGACCAGCTCCACCAGACCAAGGGCATTCTAGAATCGATCGATGAAGAAAAGCGCTCGAGGTTGCAGGAAAATGGGGCTAGAGCAGCGAAGCATATGGAGTGGCACTCGCCGCCACAGCCGGAGGATGCGTTCTACATGGTCTTGTACCAGCTATGGCGCCGGCGCCACGTCAGTCGCTATGTGGATTGAATCTAGCGTTAGGAGGGCTGAGGTGGCACTTCGGCCTAGGAGGGTGACGAGCCGGGATTCCTGTAGAGCGAGGTCTGTTCCAAAGTTTGGAGGATGGAAGTTGCCGTAGTGCGCCATAGATCCTTGGTCCAAGCCTGGGATCGAAATGCAACTCGAGAGCGTGCGATTTGCCTGTTGGTAAGCGTGAACTTTCTTTCAGTCGACGTTGTGATCATTTTCTTTCTTTTTCTTCTTTGGTTTCCAGGTTTCCCGGATTTGGTACGAGATTTATAGAGTTGACCTTGTGATTCTCTCGCTATGTCAATGGAATGGGGAACGATGGTGTGCTACCAGCTTCTCCGCTAGTCACGGCTCCAACGATTTTTGTGCTGCCTTTTAAAGTGTTTTCCAACAGGAACAACGCAGAGTGGGAGATTATTTCTTGCGTGAGACTTGGCCGAAAAGGAAACCGCCAGTCCCCCCTCTGCCTGTGAGTCTGATTCGAAAGTTTAACGAGTCTGAAGAAGAAGCAAAGAACACTGCCGTGATCAACGAGTACCGGATGGAAGCCAGGCGCGTGGCATATGAACAGTACGTGTTTTCAGTTTCTCTGATTCAGAACTTTGTGTGTGATGTTACCCTGTTTGGAATGTATCTAGATCCAAAGGTGAAGGCGCTCAACCCAGGCCAAGTGTGGAGTCTACTGTCACGGGCATGCCAGGACTACAGCCTGGGCTCCATACTTGGGAAAGAGATGAAGCTCTCGGCTTTGGAACACAAATTCAACAAGCAGCTGTACGAGTTTTGCGACTCGTCCGACACATTACGTCCATTTACATTCCGCCGGAAGTAACACAGCTCACTACGTTTGTTCTCACCTCGACCACGACGTTGATTCTGTCAAATTCTGCTACCAGGTCCTTGAGAGTCAGAACCGTTGCGATGACGAGAGTGTGCTGCATGTGGTTGGATTTGGATAGCCGCCACACTCGGATCTTCTTGTCCTGAGTGCTGTTCAAAGAGCTTGTCGCCAGCCACAAGCAGCGGCGCGAAGCTTGCTCCTCAACGTGACAAGGATCCGACTGTCTCCACACTTCCCTGCCACCGCAGATGAGTCCGCCGTGGTGAACGAGGTCGAGAGAAATGACGCCGCTGCTCCTAGCCGCGAGCTCGCGATTGCTGCTGGAGCGATCCCTCGCGCAGGAGCTGTAGGTGGAGGAAGAGGAAGGGCCATTTAACAATGCATGCATGGCGCTCCTGAGGCAACGGTAGGAGCAGAGAGATTCGTTGTCCGAGCAAGAGGAGGAGTCGGACAAGCTGCTGCTGCTTCTACCGGAGAAGGCATTGTTGTTGCTATCGCTCTCGCTGCTAGGCAAAAGCACGGCCGGGAAACGGAGACTTGGAGCTTACGCCTCGACAAGCGGTGGTGGACGACAGATCGCGAGCCTTTAAAGCGGCTACCTCAGGTATGGAGGCAATGCTCGTAAGCGATTCCTTTGGCACAGGGGGAGTTCTCTTCAAGCTCTGGAGGACTGGTGGGCACAGGCACAGGAGGAAGATCAACACACCCAAGCTCTCGAAGTCACATCTCGCGAGTTGTGCGGAGAAAAGCCCGAGAAATGGGACAACCGACGCCGACGTGTCGGAGGCGAGAGCGCTGTGTGAATACATCGCAGAGGTGGGCTACCTCTTCTATCCGCCTGCTAACGACCACACCCTCTTCTCCTTCGTGTCAATCTCTGCCTGGGAAACCTGCCCCCTGAGGAGCGTGAAGGGCTCCGAAAATCCCTTCCGCCGACTTCTCAGGTTGCGTGTGATCTTGTGGTGGAGTTTGCTGGGGAGCTGCTGGGCCACGACTTTGGTGCTTGCGATGGAGATGACGAGGTTGGGAAGCCGCTGCAGATGTTTTGGGAGCGCTTTTGTGGCAGCAAAGGCGTGCGCGTGCGCATGGATGCCGCTGCTCCTCATCGACCGGGCCAACTTGTCATGGAGGACCGCCCCTCGAGCCTGTGCGGCCCTCCCTGGAGCCCCTCTACTTTGGTATCATGGTTTTTCTTCCTTTGATTTCTTTCCTCTATGGATGATTCGTGTTTTTCCAGAGCGGCAGAAAGGATGCAGCTCGCGGCGTGGTGGCGGTACGTAAATTTTGACCCGGAGTGCCTGTGCTTACGCATTCCAGAATGGCAGGAAGGAGGAGGGTGCAGCGCGGCATGGTGGCGGTACGTAAGTTTTGAGCCGAGTGCTGTGCTAACCCATTCCAGGATGGCAGGAAGGAGGCAGCGCGCTGCATGGTGGCCGTACGTAAGTTTTGACCCGAGTGCAGTGCTAACGCATTTTGTTGTTACTTAGTAACAGGGAAGGGATCAGGAGCGAGTCTAGCCGTCGGACTGGATGATGTTCCCCACATCCTGGACCTTGTCTCCAAGCTGACGGAGAATGACTATTTTTTCTACTTGCCAGTGACGAACCTGGGATGGAACTTGCGGGCTGCTGTTGCCACTTACAGACGGCTAGGAGACATAGTGGAGGAGGAGTACTCACAACTGGAAGGTGACAGGAACGCCTTGCCCGAAGTGCCACCAGCGTACCCATGCGACGAAGTTACCACTTCTCCATTACGTGTGAGCGAGGCCAGGCTGCTGCTGCGCGGGATCCGGTCTAACCAGCTCCTACGCTCGCTGCTGCTGCACCGGCCGCCACACTCAACACTCCCACACTACTACACGATTGTCAATGCCAGCGCTCACGCGCGTCTCTGGCTTGGCCGCTACGACCTCCCGGTCTACTACGATCACAGCTTGACGTGTAAGTTACATTCCGTTCGCTTCTCGCTGACTATAACTTTCTCCCTGATCGTTCTAGACGGTCAGCTGTGTACCCGAGGAGCTGCATCGGCCGAAGAAGAGGTAGGCTTTTATACTTCTCTCCATTCCAGCTATAGAAGCAATGTGGTGTTCAGGCTCTGAACGGTGGTTTCCTGGTGGAGCGCGGGCCGTCTTTAGTGGAGACTGCGTTGCGACACAACACACTAAACCATATGTGGTACGTATCTTCTCTTAGAAGACAGAATTCCATCAATGTCTTGCATTGCTTACTCAGGAAAGAAGGCCCAACCGCATACGAGAAGCTAGTCCACATGCGTCCCGAGGATTACGAGCCACTGCCGGAAGAAGCTGTGGCGCAGGATGAGATGCTGTGGAAGGCGCTCCAGCAGCTGAGGCATGCTGTGGTGGCTACGCCCTCGTATGCATGGGGGCATGCTCTCTCCACCGCGGTTTTTATGTACGCTAAGCATTTCCCGCTGGAGCCCGAGGCCAAGCGCAAGTTTCTGTTCAGGCACGGCGTGCCTAAGCACTTTGGAACGCTGCAGGTTTTCGACACCATTCGCAAGCTGTCAGAGCCACTGGAATCGGTGGCGCTCAAGGAACGAACCTTTGCTTGAGAAAGACAAGGGTGATGCTTTCTTGTCCTGGTGGCTGGACTCGGGCAGCAGCACAGCCTGCAAAACTGTTCCAAAACTGCTATTTTGCCTTGTTAGAAACTCTGTCAGAATAAACAACGCAAGTAAAGGACTGTGTTCTATTTCCGAGTTTCGCAAACGGTTTGCCGTTTATATGACTTCATTTTTTCAATTGAGGCGTGATTGATGCGTCTGTGCAAATTCTGGCTACGAGTATGTGGGAGAGTTGAAGCAGCTCACATACGAGGAAGTGAAGTGTCTGCTCCTTGCTTGATCCTGAGATCTGCGTATGTCCCGATGTGGGACCTCGTTTCGGTGTCAAAGACTTCGTTGATTACCATTTTGGCACAGTTTGGGTGGTTTTTTGAACTGATGAGGAGAGATCACAAGATGCTTGCATCTGGAGAGGTAGTTAAATGTTGTTACTTGCACTCTTACTTTATGTATCAAATTCAGGCAGAATAGTTGGTATTGGCTTTAGATATTTTTAATGAGTCTGAAATTTTGGACGGGGTGCTGTTACATTTTGTTCCAACTTCAAAACAATGACAATTTTTCCATATGGTTTCATTATTTGTCTTACCAATAATCTTATAATGAATCCACGTGGCAAAAGGCATAAGCGCAAGAGGGAGCTAAGATCCAGCAACGAAAACACACTGTTATGAGGACATCTTTTTCATGATTTAAATACTAAGGATATCAGATATCATATGTGAGCCAACCTTTGAAAACTTCCAGATTTCTGGAATGTTCCAGAGCTTCCTGTTGGACGTGCAAGACTTTGGCTCTGGGGCTAGTTCTATACTCCCAAGTGTCTATGTTGAGGCAAAACGCATACTAGTAGAGCATGAAGTGTCTGTAGTGGACTCATTGAGTAAAATCTTTCAAGCTGGGAAGATTTTTACGTGTTCTTCTCTTGGAGATCTCCACATGTCAAGCCGATTAAGAATGACGCTGTGCAAGAGAAAAAGGTCCTTTGCTATCTCCCAGCTCTTTCTACCGTTAAGGCAAAAAAGTACTAAGAATGGGTTGATGGAGTATTTACCAATGGCCTGGTCGTAAATTTTCTTTACGATTGAGACGAAGGCTAACAAGTGAGAAGCCCTGTTCCTGTGCGAAGCTCCATCATTCAGCTTCGTCGCTTCTCCTAATTGCCTAAGATCCAAAAAGCCGAAAGACGCTCAGCCATGGAGCTGCACTTGGGGTCTCCGAGTCATCGAAAATGTCTTTGTGTGACAAGTCGCACCAAGCCAGACACAGTGCCTGCATTCCCCAATCGTTATAAAAAAGATGGAAAGACGTTTGAACCATTGTGGAAGCAAAGTTTTGCAGCAGCACCACCTCAAATAAATCTGATCCCAGAAAATGTCAAATCTCAGCCTCTCATTCCAACTTCGGAATGAGCGACCAGCTCCACCAGACCAAGACCATTCTAGAATCGATCGATGAAGAAAGCTCTCGAGGTTGCGGGAAAATGGGGCTAGAGAAGCGAAGCATATGGAGTGGCACTCGCCTCCACAGCAGGGCTGGTGGCACTTCGGCCGAAGTGGTTTGGCATGGCGGAGGCGAGGAGGGTGACGAGCCGGGATTCCTGTAGAGCAAGGTCTGTTCCAAAGTTTGGAGGATGGAAGTTGCCACAGCGCGCCATAGATCCTTGGTCCAAGCCTGGGATCGAAATGCAACTGGAGAGTGTGGATGGGATTGGATTGCTTTCTCCGCGATTTGTTCCGTATCGCCCAGTTGGTATACTTAAGCCGTCTTTCGTTTTCGTCTTTGTCTTCCAGGTGTCCCGGATTTAGTACGAGATAGATCGCTGCTGCCAAAGTGTTATAGAGTCTACATAGGAGGCTACCAGGAAACGAAGAAACTGACGTTGTTTGACGTTGTTGAGGACGAAGGGAATCATGTGGTTCTCCCGCTGAGAATCAAAGGATGCCAATGGAATGGGGAACGATGGTGTGCTACCAGCTTTCCCGCTGACTCCTCCTAAGCACGAGAAGCCGAAAAAGAAAACGCCAGTTCCCCCTTTGGCTGTGACTCTGATTCCAATGTTTAACGAGTCTGAAGAAGAAGCAAAGAACTCTGCCTCGATCAACGAGTACCGGATGGAAGCCAGGCGCGTGGCATATGAAAAGTACGTGTTTTCATGAACTTTGTGGTTGATGTTTCCCTGTTTGGAATGCATCTAGATCCAAAGGTGAAGACGCTCAATTCAGGCCAGGTGTGGAGCCGACCGTCATGGGCATGCCACCCAAAGCTCTTGAGGACTACAGCCTCCAGCGGCTGGGCTCCATACTTGGGAAAGAGATGAAATTCTCAGCTTTGCAACACAAATTTAACAAGCAGCTGTACGAGTTTTGCGACTCGTCCGACACATTACGTCCATTTACATTCCGCCGGAAGTACGCTGCTCTCAAGGTAAAGTTTTCCTCACAGATTCTTTTCTTTCTCAGCTGGTATCTCCTTCTCTGGACAGCCTCTCCATGACAAAGAGGCTGCAAAGGATATCAATTCGGCCGCCAGCATGGAACAAGCCGAAGTGTTCCTCAAAGGAATGGATCAGAATCCGTGGTACAAGGAGCTTTCAAAGCTCATCTTTTCGGGTGATAAATGTGGCTCCAGGGGAGAGTGGCTCATCCTTAACATCCTCTAACATCCGTCTGGCCGTGGAGGTACGCTTGCAAATTTCTAGATAGATGCGCAACACTATAACTTTCATCTGTTCTTGGTTCCGGGGAGGAGGCAGATTCTCCAGAAAGGACTTCGTTCCATTGCTCTACTTCCTGGACAACGAGGGAGTGAATCTCAGCGAGCCCGGCACAGTGAAAGCTCTTGGATGGCACTCAAAGTTCCCGACGAAGCTCTGGAGTCTTGCGATATCGTCCCGGAGTGGCTTCTCAGCCTCTATCGTCCCAGGTATGGAAGGTTCATCTCGTTTCGCAGGCCAACCAGCTCAAAGCCTCGCGCTACTTCAGGCGCTTTCGAAGCATGCAGTTCTCCTTCGTGTAAACCAATTACCGACGTGGCACATTTCATCCTCCAATTAGAACCGCCCATATTATATCCCACATGCAAAGGGGGGTTTGAGTATATAAGGAGAGGGCTAGAGAATCATCCTTTTGGCGTGTAGTATTTGTTCTTATTAGGGCGGTCGCCTTTTGTTTCATCCCTCTAATATGAAAGGACAACACAACACCAGTGTTGGTGTTGTTTGATCTGCTACAGACGAGCATTGATCGTCTGTCTCACAGGTTGAAAGTAGCTGTTCAGCGATTCATTGTGGAGTCTCACAAGGAGGAAAAAATCATCATGGGAGCCATCGGGACAGCCTGCGGAGCTTCAAAGTTCAGCATGGATTGCATCACATACGAGTTTTTGGTGGGCGAGGGAAAAGCAGGGCATGAGGAAGGACCAGAGGCGGCAGGGGACGAGGAAGTTACAGAAGATTAAGAGCGGACATTTTTCTTCCTGCGGGAAGCATACATCAACGCATGGACATCAATGACGACTGGTGACATCACTGAAGACTGGCTAGAGGCGCTATTGACTGTTGCGGAGGTTGGATTTCTAATCTTCACCCTCAAGACAGCCAATGACCTGGCTGTTTTGAGTCAATGCGAGCTCAGACACTCGTCTGCAACAGCCGGGCTGAACGAAATGAGGTGGCCCAGTTTTATAGGTGCCTCTTCGGCTGGGAAGTTGAGCGAGGCCTCAATGGGATTGAGGACGAACAGGTGACCAACTTGTTCAATGAATACGGACGGAGGAGGCAAAGCAGCTCTGGCAACCCTTCTGCACAGGTGCTTCAGGTGGAACCTCCTCTGCACCTTGGAGAGGTGTCAAAAGTCAACCCACAGAAGTTGGAGGACCGTCTGACGATTCTGGAGGATATGAGGGATAACAAAGAATTTTACTTGAAGTATCTTGAAGGGGAGGTTGACCTGTCGACTGGAGCTTCACTGTTGGAAATTTCCGTTGAATTCTGGGAACGTGCTTTGAATGAACAAGTGAAAGAAAACATTGGAAGGCAGATTCTTCCAAAATTGAAGAAACGAAAAGGAAGAAACAGAAAGGATATTGATTTTTTGACAAATAATCTCCTTTGAGAAGATCCTTTTAAAAGATTGATGAGTTCATGCTCTTTACTACAATAAAGAGGTACATGTTCTTATTTGAGGCTTCAGTGAGCTATTTGCCAAATGAGCTCTCTGCTCTCTGCTCTCTGCACGTCTAGGACACTCTTGTTCGTCGCCAATCCCAGAGCACGAAGCGTTACGACGATCCGGACTGGATCGGCTCCCGTGATAGACAACTCCAGGTTGATGATTCCTTTGTCCTCCTTGAGAAGAACTCTCGTGAAATTGCTCCGGAAAGACAAGCCTTTGTTGGGATAAACAACGTAGCTCCCTTCCGAGAGATGGAGCATCTCGCCCCAAAGCTCGAGTCTTGAGGCACCACAACCTGGAAAGTTGTAGAAAGTCATTCCAGCAAACCAAGAGGTGGAAAGCCCAAACCTTCTCAGCTCCCTCGACGATGAAGTAGGCTCCAGGATCAAGAGGACAATCGATTTTTCCATCGGCATGGGGGTTTGAGAGCTTGGAGCCGATCATACACGGAATCTCTCCGACAAAAACTTCGTCATTTCGGAAGGACTCGTCGACCTTCTCGTTAGAGAGCTGAGAAGAAAAGAAAGAAACCTCAGTCAAGCAACAGAAGAATGAAACACACCTCTTTCCTCTCTAGCTTCACAGGCAACGAAATGTATATCGTCAAAGCCCTTCTTTCTCACCCTGACATGGATGTCCGCGAACAATCTTGCCGAATAGCTCTGATCCCCGAGGCGCGCCTCCCAGGGATATTTCACCACGAGCGGCCGGAGCGACGCATTCAGGAGCTTGATGGACGCCGTGCTGCCCTCCTTCTCCACCGAAATCTCCTCCGTCTGCTGGAGGAACGACAGCAGTGCCTCACACAAATCGTCGAAGGAGCCGATGAGATCGCAAACACATCCTCTGCCATGATCGCTCGCTCGATCGCTTGATTTCTTCCTAAAACACTAGAATGCAGGCTAGAAAGTGAGCTAGAACATAAAACCCTCCCTTTAAATCTAATTTGTTTTATTGCCTTTTACCTTAATCTAATCCATCGTCACGTCGACGAAGGAAGGGCCGATTGCCCATTAAGAAACGCATGAACCAAACTTTGCGCGGCATTTACTTGCTCTTGAGTCCCTTCAAACAATATGGTTCTTTCCACGGAGCTTTCTTTGCTTCCATTGACCTTCACAAAACCGAGAAACAAAAATTTAGATCTTCCCGATCGATCGAGCGGAGCTAAAAACGAAAAAAAACGTACCTTGATGGTAGCACCGGAAACACTCCTCATGTGGGAGATATGAAAGCCGCCTTTTCCAATGAGGCCTCCCATGACCGAGCTGGGAACGCTCATCTCCGCCGAGACTTTTGGTAGCATCGGTGGTAGTCGAGCGGCAGGATTTGCGTAGAGCGGCGGAGCTTGGGCCAAAACCCCGCCAGCGTATGCTGGACCTGCGAGAGGATGCGGTTGGAGGCCGTAGAGAGCCATGGAGGAAGGAGAATGCCCGTAGACAGCAGCCACGGAAGAATGCGGGAGTAGTACTTGCTGTCCGGTTTTTCCATCGATTCCTAGAAAGTATGCCGTCTTGGCTTCTGGAGTTGTAGGCACAGTTTCCTTTGGTGGATTATCTCTGCGAGCGCAGCAGTAAAATTATCGTCTGCCGCAAAGCAACACCACCCCACCCCCAAAAAATACTACCTTAAGTTGGCAGCTACGAGCTCGATGGCCATTTGTACCGCGGCCACTTCGCCCGAGATCTGGAAGCGCTTCTAAGCTGAGACGAGGAACAAAAAGGAAAGAGAAATAAGAGATACCTGGACTAGTCGATCTGTCTCACAAGCTGCCGAGCAAAGCGGGAGCTGGTCCGAAGGCAAAACTCGGACGCTGGCCGAGGATGAGCCTCGAATGTTTTTTATGTTGGCCCCGGCTTTGCCGATCAAGCTCCCGGCTTGGGAGCCGGCGATGAGCAGCCTGGTCAAATTGGGAGAGCCTTGGTGCTGAGGACCAATTGCCGCAGAAGGCGTCGCACCATCTCCGTCCTAGAAAATGAGAAAAGTTCAGAGCGACGAGTGACATTCGCGATCAAAAAAATGTCACCTTTAGTAAGATCGTGACGACTTCAAGGAGAGCAAGCTCGGCACAAGTTCTGTCTGAGCCACCCTCGTTTTTGGAAGATATCAGTACCGCTCGATCCTCGGTAGTCTGGAATCAAATGCATCAAACACGTTAGCCAGATCTTAAACAGCCGAAGGAAGTAACGAAAAGAGAGAACTTGCAAAGAGAATACATACGTTCATGGGATCCGCGATTTTGATGTGAGCGCCAGTCTCGTCTCTCAGCTTCTTTATCTGCGATCCTTTCTTGCCGATCACCTTGCCGATCTTCCCTGCAGGGACAAGGAGGCGAAACAAAACATCAGGCGTTTTGACAGCCCGTTTGGTCGCAGGGCCGGCTCCAATGGAAATTCCACTACCACCGTCCTCTGCGTGGCGCTTCCTAGAAGAGGAGGAGTTTGGGACGGGAGCCAGTAGCAATGCTGATGGGTTTGGGGCCATCCGATGCTTGGAGGAGAGGGCACTCGCTCTTGAGATTATCACAGCGGCACACCAGGGAGGAGGATCATCTCATGGGACTCGAGTGGAAACGACGACGATCAGGGGATCAACAACATCTAGTGCGACGCAATCATCTGCGCAGATCTGTTCGTGTGTGTGTGACAGAGATTATTCGTCTAAGAGAAGACTATGGTGCTGGTAAAGAAAGAAGGAGCAACAAATCCCCCCAAAATCCACTTACATTCCAGAAATGCAGGCGCCACGGCTGCCGCCGCTAGAATTTGCCATGGATTCGACGAGATCGACGCTAGCGCTGCCGGATCTGACCGATGTTTCCCCTCCCAGCTGCATAAACCCTATTGCTGACGCGGCAGTCCGTAACGCATGCATAGCGCCACATCTTGTCCACGTCATTTGGGCACCACGTGGCTAGGGCTTTGCTGACGCGGGTGGTGGATGAGATGTGCCACGTCGGCAACTGGTTTACACGAAGGAGAACTGCATGCTTCTAAAGCGACTGAAGTAGCGCGAGGCTTTGAGCTGGAGCGGCGTAGGCCTGCGAAACGAGATGAGCCTTCCATACCTGGGATGATAGAGGCTGAGAAGCCACTCCGGGACGACATCGCAAGACTCCACGAATTCTTCCAAAGCTTCGTTGGGAACTTTGAGTGCCGTCCTGATCAATCCGAGAGCTTTCACTGTGCCGGGCTCGCTGAGATTCACTCCCTCGTTGTCCAGGAAGTAGAGCAATGGAACGAAGTCCTTTCTGGAGAATCTGCCTCCTCCCTGGAACCAAGAACGGATGAATAGCGTTGCGCATCTATCTAGAACTTTGCAAGCGTACCTCCACGGCCAGGCGGAGGATGTTAAGGATGAGCCACTCTCCCCTGGAGCCACATTTATCACCCGAAAAGATGAGCTTTGCAAGCTCCTTGTACCACGGATGCTGATCCATTCCTTTGAGGAACACTTCGGCTTGGTCCATGCTGGCGGCCGGATTGATATCCTTTGCAGCCTCTTTGTCATGGAGAGCCTGTCCGGAGAAGGAGATACCAGCTGAGAAAGAAAAGAATCTGTGAGGAAAACTTTACCTTGAGAGCAGCGTACTTCCGGCGGAATGTAAATGGACGTAATGTGTCGGACGAGTCGCAAAACTCGTACAGCTGCTTGTTGAATTTGTGTTGCAAAGCTGAGAACTTCATCTCTTTCCCAAGTATGGAGCCCAGCTGCTGGAGGCTGTAGTCCTCAAGAGCTTTGGGTGGCATGCCCGTGACGGTCGGCTCCACACCTGGCTTGGGTTGAGCGTCTTCACCTTTGGATCTAGATGCATTCCAAACAGGGAAACATCAACCACAAAGTTCAGTGAAGTTGAAAACACGTACTTTTCATATGCCACGCGCCTGGCTTCCATCCGGTACTCGTTGATCAAGGCAGAGTTCTTTGCTGCTTCTTCAGACTCGTTAAACATTGGAATCAGACTCACAGCCAAAGGGGGAACTGGCGTTTTCTTTTTCGTCTTCTCGTGCTTGGGAGGAGTCCAAGTCTCACGCAAGAAATAATCTCCCACTCTGCGCGGTTCCTGTTGGAAAACACTTCAAAAGGCAGCACCAAAATCGAAAACAATCACCTGCTTCGCTTCAGCCGCTGCTCGGACTTGGAAAGCTCGCTCTGGAGAATGTTGGAACCATTTGAGCCGCGGGCTTCACTAGCAGAAAAGCTGGTAGCACACCATCGTTCCCCATTCCATTGGCATCCTTTGATTCTCAGCGGGAGAACCACATGATTCCCTTCGTCCTCAACAACGTCAAACAACGTCGGTTTCGTCGTTTCCTGGTAGCCTCCTTTGTAGACTCTATAACACTTTGGCAGCAGCGATCTATCTCGTACTAAATCCGGGACACCTGAAACACAAAGATGAAAACGAAAGAAGTCGATATCAACCTCCGCTTAAGTATACCAACAGGGCGATACGGAACAAATCGCGGAGAAAGCAATCCAATCCCATCCACGCTCTCCAGTTGCATTTCGATCCCAGGCTTGGACCAAGGATCTATGGCGCGCTGTGGCAACTTCCATCCTCCAAACTTTGGAACAGACCTCGCTCTACAGGAATCCCGGCTCGTCACCCTCCTCGCCTCCGCCATGCCAAACCACTTCGGCCGAAGTGCCACCTCAGCCCTCCTAACGCTAGATTCAATCCACGTAGCGAGTGACGTGGCGCTGCCATAGCTCCGGCTGTGGAGGCGAGAGCCACTCCATGTGCTTCGCTGCTCTAGCCCCATTTTCCCGCAACCTCGAGAGCTTTTCTTCATCGATCGATTCCAGAATGGTCTTGGTCTGGTGGAGTTGGTCGCTCATTCCGAAGTTGGCTGAGATTTGACATTTTCTGGGATCAGATTTATTTGAGGTGGTGCTGCTACAAAGCTTTGCTTCCACAATGGTTCATTGTGCCTGGCTTGGTGCGACTTGTCACACAAAGACATTTTTGATGACTCGGAGACCCCAAATGCAGCTCCATGGCTGAACGTCTTTCGGCCTTTTGGATCTTAGGCGATTAGGAGAAGCGACGAAGCTGAATGATGGAGCTTCGCACAGGAACAGGGCTTCTCACTTGTTAGCCTTCGTCTCAATCGTAAAGAAAATTTACGACCAGGCCATTGCTAAATACTCCATCAACCCATTCTTAGTCCTTTTTTGCCTTAACGGTGACCATTCCCGGCGGGTGTTCTTTCGATTTCCCTCTTGGATTCTTAGTTGATCTCGGTTTCTTGATCTTGTTCCTTGCCCGATTCCTTAGTTGCTTCAGGTACAGAGAGATTTTCTTTGTCATCTTTGGTACACCTTTGGTCGGCAACAAGTGCAAGCCCCAAGGCATCCAAGTGGGTTCTGCAAACTGCGCAGAAACTATTCAAGCCAGGATAGCCTTCTGTCATCGATCGTCAAGCAGACCAAATGAACCTTTGGAGAACAGCCCGTTGTGGTGGACTCACACTAGATAATGCGGATATGGATGTGGGCACAGAAGATGATGCTGGGGATGTTGAGGATCTGGATGATGAAACTCTACAGGCTAATGATCCAGAAGGCAACATAGTAGCAACTGCTGTTTTGAGCAAAGATTTTCATTATCCAAGCAAGTTTTCCCAAGATGACGAGACTAGTGGAGAAGGTCAGCAAATCAGGACGATGGATTAGATTAAGTTAAAATAAGACAGGCAATAAAACAAACTAGATTTTAGGGACTAATGAGGGGTTTTATGTTCTAGCTAGCTTTCTAGCCTGCATTCTAGGGTTTTAGCAAGAAATCAAACGATCGAGCGAGCGATCATGGCAGAGGATGTGCTTGCGGCGTTCCTGCGAGGGAGGAGTCCTGTCGCGCATCTCATCGACTCCTTCGACGATTTCTGTGAGGCGCTGCCGTCGCTCTTCCAGCAGACGGAGGAGATTTCGGTGGAGAAGGAGGGCAGCACGGCGTCCATCAAGCTCCTGAATGCGTCTCTCCGGCCGCCCGTGGTGAAATATCCCTGGGAGGCGCGCCTCGGGGATCAGAGCTATTCGGCAAGATTGTTCGCGGACATCCATGTCAGGGTGAGAAAGAAGGGCTTTGATGATATACATTTCGTTGCCTGTGAAGCTAGAGAGGAGTGTGTTTGATTCTTCTTTTGCTTGACTGAGGTTTCTTTCTTTTCTTCTCAGCTCTCTAACGAGAAGATCGACGAGTCCTTCCGAAATGACGAAGTTTTTGTCGGAGAGATTCCGTGTATGATCGGCTCCGAGCTCTCAAACGCCCATGCCGATGGAAAAATCGATTGTCCTCTTGATCCTGGAGCCTACTTCATCGTCGAGGGAGCTGAGAAGGTTTGGGCTTTCCACCTCTTGGTTTGCTGGAATGACTTTCTACAACTTTCCAGGTTGTGGTGCCTCAAGACTCGAACTTTGGGGCGAGATGCTCCATCTCTCGGAAGGGCTGCTGGAAGAGCTACGTTGTTTATCCCAACAAAGGCTTGTCTTTCCGGAACACTTTCACGAGAGTTCTTCTCAAGGAGGATAAAGGAATCATCAACCTGGAGTTGTCTATCACGGGAGCCGATCCAGTCCCGATCGTCGTAGCGCTTCGTGCTCTGGGATTGGCGACGGACAAGAGTGTCCTGGACGTGATGCACGCCACAAATGATCCCGAGCTCGCCAACATGATTCTGCCTTCGTTGCGCGAGGCCGCCGACCAGGTTTCTGACTTCTTCGGGGACGAAGACGTCAATCACCGGGATTGTGCCGCCAACCAGGAGTTCTTAGCTTCCAAGTCCAGGAAGCTCAAAGGAAGTTTTGTCGAGGCTCTGTTTCCCGCTCTCGATTCTCCCAAGAGCAAGGTGATATACCTCGGCTACATGGTGGAGTTCCTTTGCACATCGTATCTTGGTCGCCGGCAGCCTCGAAAGAACAGCCTCGTCAACAAAAGGATCCTGGGCGTGAACGAGCTTCTGGCGCTACTGCTGACCAAGGCTATGACTCGTTTCATGAGGGAGACTTGCAAGAAAATGCTGCTGATGAAGAGCGTCACCGACGGGATCTTCAACGATAAGATCGTCACTTGTGACTTTAGAGACGCGTTCAAGAGGGGAGTTTGGGCTCAGCCACAGACGTATGGCAGCGGGGTGGTGGAAGCGCTAAAACGGCAAAACGTCACTTGTACACTGGCTCATCTCCGGCACGTAAGAACTCCATCTCAGTACTCGGGCAAAGTTAATGACAGCAGATACCCGTAAGTGAAACTCTTTGTGTCAATCATGCTATAACTCTTTTCTTTCTGCAGAAACAAGTCTCACACTGGAAGGTTCTGCCCGGTCGAAACTCCTGAAGGGGAAAATTGTGGCCACCTCAAGACACTGGCGCTGTTTGCGATGATTTCTTCTCATCGCGATGAAACCGATGTGCTCGACAACCTCAGCGGCTACTTACAAGATGTCGATGAAGTTCCCCTCCAGCAGCTCCATGTCTTTGACAAGGTATTTCTCAATGGACGCTTGCTCGGGCTGTCAACACGGGATGAAGCTAAGGCTGCTGTCCTGCACCTTCGCAACAGGCGACGCCGAGGTGCTATCCATTCGGAGGTACGAGTTTTGACGTTTCCGGCTTTTGTAAAGCTGAAGAGATTATTTTCTTCTCAGGTGGAGATAGCACCAAACAAGCATGGCGAGCTGCAAATCTTTACTGACGGAGGGCGAGTTTTGAGGCCTGTCTTCATCGTGGAAAACAACGAGTGGCTACTGACAGACGACAATGTGTCTGAGCTCCATGGACTGAACAACGGGGAGGAAAAGGTCCGCTTTTTGCTCCAGGAAGGACTGGTGGAGCTGCTGGGGCCCGAGGAAGAAGAGCAATGCGTGATAGCTTCAAGGTACAGCGATCTGAGATCAGGGATTCGCTACACACACATGGAGCTGCATCCGGCAGCGATGCTGTCCATAACAGCGTCCACCATTCCGTTCGCTCAGCACAACCTCAGCACCCGCGTCACCTACCAAGCTCAGAAACACTCGAAGCATGCAATCGGATACTACTCGTGCAACCCGAGCAAACGCTTCGACACGACGTCGGACAGCCTTTTCTATCCGCAGAAGCAGCTGGTGTCGACTAGCATGTGTCGGCTTCTCTCACCAAACGACTCCGCGATGATGCGGGGATGGCCGGAGAAGTTGATGCACGGCCAGAGCTGCGTCGTCGCCGTGGCGTGCTACGACGGCTACAACCAGGAGGACTCACTTATCTTCAACCAGGCGGCCATCGACCGTGGTTTATTCCGTTCCATCCACGAGAGGACTCACCGCTACAACATCAATCTGCAGAGCTCCGAGGAGAGCTTTGGAAGGCCTGTGGAGGAGGACGGTTCTCCGCAGCAGCGGTATCAGCACTTGGACGAGGATGGCTTCCCAGAGATCGGTGCGCGTCTCCAGTCGTCGCAGGCAGTGATCGGCAAGACCCGGAAGCTGAAAGAAGGGACAGTGAGCAACAGCAGCATCTTCCTCAAGAACTTCGAGGAGGGGTCCGTGAAAGAGGTGGTGCGGCTCCCGAAAATCGCCCAGGGATCGCACGACGTCAACGTTAAAACCGCGAGCGCGAGTTTTCCGCACGGCGGCGTCAAAGTTAAGATCGCGAGCACGAGAGCTCCGCAGGCTGGCGACAAGTTTAGCAGCATGCACGGGCAGAAGGGCGTGATCGGCTGCTGCTTGAGCCAGGAGGACCTTCCCTTCACTCGCCAGGGGATCGTCCCGGACGTGATCATCAATCCCCACGCCTTCCCGACTCGCCAGACTCTGGGCCAGATGCTCGAGAGCATCGCAGGGAAGGCCGCCGCGATGGGAGTGAGGGTGAATACCACTCCGTTTAGCAGCGCCTCGCCGGATCAACTTGGTGCTGCTCTCCACAGGTAAGTTGTTCTAACTTCTTTTCTTTGGCTTTGTTCTATATCGATGTTCTTGGTTTTGTCAAGGTGTGGCTTCCAAAAGTCTGGGAACGAGCGGTTCTACAGCGGCCTCTATGGCTCCATGATCAAGGCGGAGATCTTCGTCGGCGTTTGCTTCTACCAAAAGCTGATGCAAATGGCGGACGACAAGATCAAGTGGAGGAGGATCGGGCGGCATGACAGCATCACGCGGCAGCCCATCAAGGACCGGCAGAAGTATGGCGGGATCAAGTTCTCGCAGATGGAGCGCAGCAGCCTGGTGGCGCACGGCGCGGCGGCGTCGATCCAGGAGCGGATGTTCCACCTCAGTGATCCCCACCAGGTGGAGGTTTGCACGCGCTGCGACCGCATGGCCAGCATTGGGCGGTCGCGGGCGCCCAGCTGCCGCTTCTGCAAGGACAAGTTCCCGGGCTTCGCGAGGCTGGAGATCCCCTACAGCTGCAAGCTGCTGGTGCAGGAGCTCAACAGCATGGGAATCGACCTCCGCCTCGTCACCGATTCCAGCGCCTCGCTCCGCGGGAGGGAAGACAAGAATTAGGGTTCTTCCGCAAAACGCGCGAAGTTTAGGGCTTTTATACATATTGGTTGAATTAAAGTGGTGGTGTTTCTAATCCTAAAGACGAGCGGTTCCAAAGCATGATCAAACCTTTCAACATCGCGTCAATGATTTGAACAGCCCATGCTATACACTTTAGCGATGGCGATGGCGTCTCCAATTCCTTCAAGCTTGGTCCCCTGGCACACACAAACGATGGGTCAGGGCCAAGCTAACGTTTCGTTTTACCTGGCCTTGTGCGGTTTCGCTGTTGCCACCCCCTTTGCCTTCCAGTGGCTCCAGAGCTTTTCTCAGCCACTCCACTGCAACGATTCTTTTGTTGCTTGGAGGGACTCCCGCGTAGACCAGAGCTTTGCCCGAGGCCACGTCCACGCTAAACAGCATGATCGCAATATCCTGCAAAAGAACCGCGAGTTGGCCGAGAGCTAGTGTTGGAAAAACGCTACTGGTACCTTGGCCATGATCGCCGAGACTGCCTTGCGAATGGCTTTGACATCGAGCCCGACGTCACTTCTCACGACGCAGCAGCTTTGGAGAGCCGATTCAGCACAGCGCAAGGCATCATCCATTGCACGACTCTGGTTGGAGAGCGACGACACCTTGTTAAGCTCCTTGACGCGATCCTGTGAGTGTGTATGGATGAGCACGGGTTTGGAGCATAGAGGTGGTTTGGAGCATAGAGGTGTACGACGTACCTGGAGCTTGTCGAGCTCTCCGCGAAGGATGAGCTTGCGGGTTAGTGGAATCTGTGCTGCGTCCAGTGACGGCTTCAAAGTCACCATTTCCTGAAGCATAAGTAGATTAAAGATGAAGAAGACGCAAGAAAAAGCATTGAAGCATCTATGTACCTTCTCCAGTTGTTCTGAGCTTGTCAGTTTCAACGCGTTAGACACTCGACAAGCGAACTCTTCTCCACGGGCAATCGCGAGTTTTGCGAGTGCTCCAGTGAGAGCCACAGCCTGTCTAGCCCCGTTGGAAGTGCTTTCCTCTGTCACAATGGTGAAGTCACCAGCTTCCCTGGTGTTACTTAAATGTGTGCCTGGAAATTTCGTATAAGAAACACAAAACGTTTTCCTATAAGAAACTTACCTCCACACAATTCTGTGGAAAATGGTTCGGGAAAAGGAGCTAAGAGCTGGTCTTCCACAGCCAACCCGACTGAAACCACACGCACCGGGTCGGGATATATCTAAAGTGCGAGTGCCTACAGATAAAAGAAATGACGAAGAAATGTAATACCTCTCCAGGCACAGTACGTAAGCCTTTAATCCGATTCGCCTCTTCAAGGCTCACTTCTTTGGTATAAATTTGAAGCTCCCTCCGAATCTGGTTCACAACAAGTCTCTCTATCTCCTCAAGCTCTCGGAGCTCCAGTTTTGCACCTGGATAAAATTATGAGAGATCGATCCGCAAGGACTAGTCAAATACCATGTCTGAAACCAAATCTCAGCTTGTCCGGTGCAACCAAAGAGCTTGTCTGCTCAACATGGTTTCCGAGAACTTTCTACAGAAACAGCAAAAAGGAAAAAAGTGAAGTCACAACCAGCAGCGCGACGAACACGATCGGGCTTCACCCTACCCTCAATGCCGAGCTCAACAAGTGAGTACCAGTGTGGTTTGCGGCGAGCTTTGAACGATTTGCGTATTCCACCTGCATTAGCCGTTTCGTGGAGAAAATGTTTGAAACTTACATGTAGGCGACGTACCTTCGCAACGACCACGTCTCCAACGGAAACACTTCCTTTCGGAATTCCTACATGCAGAACGTATCCTCCAAAGCACCTGACGTCTGTCACCTGTAAAAGGAAGCCGCAAGCCTCTATGGTGCCTATATCGTGCATCTGTCAATACAATGCGTTTTTGTATTGGAAACAAAATGCGAAATCACGCAACGTACCTGACCTCCTTGCTCGGAATAAAAGCTGGTTGATTCAAGCACTAGCCCCACGATGGAGTTGTCATCCACGCTGGCGTTAAAAGTGTCTGTGAAGCTGTTACAGCCGAATATTGCTGCAACTCTAGTTTCGTGGTCTTGGTGCCAGACGTATTTGTTGCTGTCGCTAGTTGGAGCGACGCCGCTGGTTCTAAGCTGTGATATTTGAGCCGCTTCCAGAGACATGTCCACGCCTCGCGCCTGCATTGTAGAGGGATTTCTTTCGTACATGGATCTTGAACACATGAAACTTACTTTGCTACGAGCATCACGGGATTTGCGCTTTGCATCTTCCAGTGCTCGATTAAAACCGTCCTCGTCCACTTGAAAGTCATACTGCTCCCGAGCCATTAGCTGCAGAGCATGGATGTTCAGAGATCTAGAGACTAATAAAAACAATCTGTAAACTTACCTGAGTGAGATCGAGAGGAAAGCCATACGTATCCCAAAGTAGAAACGCAACTTGCCCGCTTAACAGGCAATCCTTCACTTCAGCGGCGGCCTTGTGGAACCTCTCAACCCCCTATAAATGAGCACATAAATCTCGTCACTTCTTATGGCCTGAAAAATACGATCACCTTTGTTAAAGTCTTGGTGAAGCTCGCTTCCTCCTCGGCAAGTATTTTCTTGACCGTGTCCTTTGCCCCGTTCAGCGCTGGGTATGCTTCACCCATGGTTGTTACAACAACATCCACCAGGCTGGATAGCAAACAGAAAACAAATGTCAGTGAGAAACGAGAAACTTAAGAGAGAGAAAAACCCACCCGTTGAAGAATCCATGCTTAGCCTTCATAATATCCACACCATATCGCACGGCTCGTCTAAGGATCCGTCGGAGTACGTATCCCGCTCCCTCACTGCCTGCTTGGCGAAAAATGAAAACAAGAAGCAGCGCAAAAACCATTGCCTACCTGGTCGGCAGCCGTCAGTAATGGCGAAGGTTAGCGTCCGCGCATGGTCCGCTAGGACACGGTAGGCCGTGTCCACTAAATCAACGTCGTCATCTCCCATTCTTCCTAAATAAGGCCCAGCACCAGTAGCCTGGAGGAGCAAAGGAAGTCAGAAGATACAAACACAAGCCCGAAGATCTGTAATTTCACACCACCTTTTGAATGGCATCGAAGATCGGAGCAAACAAATCCGTGTCGTAGTTACTCGACTTATTTTGCAAGACGGACACGAGACGCTCCAGGCCCATGCCGGTGTCAACGTTTCGGGTGGACAAAGGAGTGAGCTTACCGTCTGTCTCTCTGTTAAACTGCATTTAATCACAGGAATCATAAGCTTAGAAAACACTAGTTGAATCGATCACAGTACCTGCATAAACACAAGATTCCAGAGCTCGATGCAGGTTGGATCGTCCATGTTGACATACGCAGACCCGTCTCGCCCACCAAGCCTGTCGTAATGGATCTCGCTGCAGGGGCCGCAGGGGCCGGTCTCTCCCATCTCCCAGAAGTTATCCTGCGAAAGGCGATGACAAACACATTTCTTTTTACAAACAGTAATCGTCTACAAAACCAACCTTGCAGCCGAACGGAAGAACTCGTTGTGGTGGCAGAAACTTGAGCCAGATATCTCTGGCTTCAGTATCTGGTGAAAGGCCAAGGCTATCATCCCCACCAAAGTAAGTCGCGAAGAGACGATCTTTAGACAGCTTATACACCTTGCCAAAGACGAAAACGAATCAGCATGAAGAAAAGATGGAAGAAAGTGTATACCTGTGTGAGAAGCTCCCATGCCCAGGCTATGGCTTCCTCCTTGAAGTAGTCCCCAAAGGACCAGCTCCCCAGCATCTCGAAAAAGGTGTGGTGGTATGTGTCCTTGCCAACATCCTCAAGATCGTTGTGCTTCCCACCAGCGCGAATGCACTTCTGGCTGTTGCAAGCGCGCATGATCGTCTTTCTTGCGTTGTGGTTCCCGTTTTCCAGCAACAGGCGCTTGAACTGGACAACACCTGGAAGAACAAATTCAAGCCATATCTAGAGGTATCCCGACTTACCGGAGTTTGTGAAGAGGAGCGTAGGGTCATCCAGGGGGATGAGCGAGCTGGATGCTATCTCCTGGTGCTCCCTATCCTCGAAATACTTCACGAACGTCCTCCTCACCTGGGAAGACGACCACTCCTCCATTGCCAACAAAGCCCTAAACCCTAGTCCTGTTTCGCGCTCGTTTAACTTTTTAGAATATTCTAAATGGCGCCAAGTTTCCGAGCTACTCATATCTTCGACCCGGGCGCAAGACAAGATCTATTCTATGGACCCAAACTATATAATCAATACTGAGGACACAGGAAGGATTATATTTGTAGACAGGGGCGATGTTTCTCCAAGGTCTGAAGCTCGAGTTAGTGGTAGCTAGCGAGACAAGTTCTGGACCGAATACCAAGTCTGTAACGCCCTGGAAGTTCGAGAACATACAGAGGAGAGCTTCGTACTTTGTGGCTTGCTTCGCCATGGCTTGTTCTGCCTTGAATCCACCCACCCGTCTGGAATGACTACACTTTTCTTCTAGATTGACGCGAGGAGATAATCTCTAGGATTGTGCAAATAAGCTCTAGATCAGGGAGAGAGGAAAACAAAGAGGCTAACCTTATAATACACATGATGTTCTCTATGACCATCGAGGCCACTGGTGATGTTTTCTCTGGGAAGATTTCCCGACATTCCCAAGCAGCGTCAATGTACAACGGCTGAAGAAAAACCAGCCTCCACTGGAGCGCGTTCACCACCTTTCCGCCCTCCCTCAACTTGGAGTGGCAGCCAGCACCCCTAGCAATTTCCAGCAATTTCCACCCTTGCTTCGTACTCTTCATCTGGAAGGCTTGGAAGTTGACGTGCTCAGACTGCAGTGCTTCAGCCTGACGGAGCGAACCAGGACTAGATTCGGGAGGGGAAGAGCGCGAAGATTGCTATCTCCTGATCTTGACGATGTCTCGACAGGTACGACTTCCATTACCCGCATGCGCCAGCTTTCCCAACCCCGTTCTGTGCTCCCATGGCAGTAAAGTCTACTGTCTACAGTCTTGTGTCAGCGAGCGGGGGTGAAGTTGCGGAGATCATCCCCAGAGTAGACATGCGATGCCCATTCTCGTTGGCTCTGGCCACCTTCGAACCCATCCACGATCCGGGTCTCCACCAGCGTGATCGCTTGCAAGCTGATCACCAAGACAATGTCTTTCCCGTCCTCGAGCATTGATGCCAGCCTGCTGCTCGCTTTGCGATTCACCTCCGGTGGCAGCGTGATCCCGAGCTCGTGATACGTCTAGTTGCAAGCAAACTTATGTCAGCGCACACCCAAACGTATATGGTGATCATCGGAAGCTCGAATCGTAAAGCCGAGGCCGAAGGAGTGAATCTCCTCGTTGCTACTCCTGGAAGGCTCCTGGATCATCTCAGGAGCACTGCTGACAGTGGACTTGGAGGATGGATCTATCACAACTTGAAGGTGATTCTTTTATACATGGTTTGAAGTTTCTATTCCTTTGCGCAGTGTTTTCATCAGTACTTGATGATCGACGAAGCGGACCGGCTGCTTGAGATCGGATTTGAGGAGGAAATGAGGCAATGTGTGAAGTCTAAAAAAATTCAGGCAGTTCTAGTTCTCCTACCTGATTGGATGCGACCTCGATATAGACTGGATCCTTGAGCGTCAGTTTTGCACGATCTTCCACCTATTAATCACCGAAAACGCGTATAAGGAGAAACCTGCGGTAAGCATAGCAAATGTTTTGTAAGCGATGCGAATCCTTTTCCATGCCTGAACAGATTGCCAGGCTTGGAGGCAGCATAAGGAGAAGCGAAAAAATTTTAAGCTCGCCTTCTTTGTTTGAGTTGCAGAAAACAGCACAGTTTGTCGATCTGCCTTATGCAGCAACATAACCAGCAAAACTCTGTCAGGTTTGAGCTGATTGTGGATTTAGTCTACTGTATAAGGCCTGGAGCAAGGCTACTGTGTGGTGCCCACCGAGAAGCGGCTCTTGCTTCTCATCACATTCCTGTAGAAGAACAAGAAAAAGAAGGTGAAAAGCAAAGAAAACAGACATCTCTAGTTGCTCGGAACTTAAGAACAAGCGTTCCAGGTGATGGTCTTCTTCTCTTTTTGTAAGTCCATCAAGTTCCACTTCGAACTGTTTCGCCTGTTAAACTTGGAGTGCCTGAGTATTCACGGGAAGATGAAGCAGTCGACGAGGTTTACGTAGTTTTGTGCAGCGGAATCTGGGCTCCTCCTCTGTACCGATGTTGTGGCCCGAGTTCTGGACATTCCTGCAGCATTGTTTTTGCAATATGTTATGGAAGAGTGGGATTGTGGCAATGGTTTTCTGAGTTCTTGCACCGGCAGGATTATCCAGTACGACCAGCCTTCTGATCCTAAGGTTGGCCTATTTTCCTTGTTTTTGCTGATGAAAGCTTGCCTTCTTTCTTCACAGGTATATTCACCGAGTTGGTCGGACCGCTCGCGGAGAGGATGCCCGTTGCCAGGCTGTATTGTTTCTGCTGCCCCAGGAGCTTGATTTCCTTCGTGACCTTAACGTATGGCTTTTCTTTCCTCTATATTTCTTGCCTTGCCAGTTTTGATCTATTCCATCTGCTTAAAGTTCCCATGGAACTTCGAAGTTGCTCAACATTCATGTCCAATCTGCTTGTTCCTTTTTCATCCGCTTTCCATTCTTGTTCTCACTGTTTTGCAGGAAACTCAGCTACTCGAGGTCCAAACCATGCGTCGCTTGGCTGCAGACGCTTTCAAGTCTTACCACGCCCATACGCTCAAAAGTGTCTTCGACGTCCACAAACTCGATTATCAGGTTCTCTCTCGTTTCCATTTGCCAAGAGCTCTTGTTCAATGAACTGCTGGGTCTTGGAGGCTCTTGCAGCGTCGTTTTACCTCAAATCTATCCCACCCGGCTGCTCGATCATTCACAGCAACGCAGCCAAGCACAGAAAGGCGGGCGGGAAGAGAAGCGTCGTCGGCACACGCTTTCAGCGTCAAAAATCCTTATGAAAAACGAGGCTAGAGGCAATTCTCGAGGATTTGAGAGCAACAATTGAGCACAGAATTTAGGGTATCAAAAAGGCGGTGGGTTGGTCGAGGAGAAATGGAAGCTGCGTGTGTGCAAGGCGCGCAAAAGTGGTGGGCTTTCTCAGCAGGCATGACTGCGGAGGAGGCGCTGGGTCATATCTCGAGGGAGACAGAAACGAGCGCTGATCTACTGTTGCTGGAATCCAAGGCAGGGGAGGCAATTCTGCCGGACTCCAAGCTTGCTGCCGGTGTCGATTACAGCGTTCGGGTTAGGACCGAGTCACTTCCAAAGAGACGGTTTGTAGCTGGGCATGCAGTCGATCCCGAGTCGCATTACTATATCACCCCGGACGTGGACGACCTGGTATCCGACCTGGCGCAGGGCAAGAACTGCGCGTTGTGTGGCCCTCGACAGAGTGGAAAGTCGACAATGGTGCTGGCAGCTCGGAGGGAGCTCATGTTAACGTCCAAAGCGACTGTGGTCTACCTAGATGGACTGGAGGGTGCGAGGATGAGTTGGAGCAGCCATGACTTTTGGGGCTATATCTGCGACAGCCTCACCTTGAAGTGTCCTGCTCTCTTCCCCAAGCAGCAGGTGCCATGTACATCTCTCGTCTTCAAGTCGCTCTTCACAAGGAGCAAGCTGCCGACGCTGGTGACTGTCGTCCTCGACGAGGCAGATTCTCTGCTGGACATATCGTCGGACATCGTGGACGAGTTCTTTGCCACCATCAGAAGCATCAAGAGCGACAAGGATGCGTACAACTTGCATGGCTTTCTGCTTGTTGGGGTGGAGACTGTAAAGGATCTTCTTGAAGCACGATACAACAAGCGTGTTCCAGATGCAGTAAGGACAGACACGCATATGCCAAGTTCTACTCCAAGTCGGCTGACTCCCTTTCCGCACGACCATGTCTTGGCATCCTCAAGGTTCACTCTGGAACATGTGAGGGAACTGTTACACCAAGCAGCAGCGGATCGTCCAAGTGTGGCCATCGAGGTGGAGAGCATTGCAGTGTCGATAATACAGTGGACTGGTGGTCACAAGGGGCTTACAGGCACTTGCCTGGCTTACCTTGTTCAGGAGGAGCTCTGGACGTTCAGACGCTGGCTCCGGCGAGCAGAGTCGTATCGTTTGGGAACTTACATATTCGGACAGGCTACGTACAACAGGATTCTTGCTTTCATTCGGAAACAGGAGCAAGATGCCGAGGCATGTAAGCTGCTGACCCGGTACCTGGAAACTCCTGGTCTATATTGCGGACCCGAGACGCTGGTGCAACTACGCGATTTTATTGCACACGGGGTGCTCGCAGCATCTGTGATTACAGCTGATGATGAGGAAACTGAGGCAGGAAGGTATTATGTAGGCATTTCAACGCCTCTTCTTCGGACTGCTATGCTCCGTAGATGCACCGTCTTCTGCGACGACGTGGATGCACCTCCTTGTGCTACTCGACTGGACCGCGTGTGGCTCCTTCTTCAGGCTATCAAGACTCTGGACGGAGAAGTTATGTGTAGGCCCGAGAGCTTAAGAGCTAGAGGAGCAGGTCCGTCCAAATACGCGCAACAGTTCCTCTTCCTGTGCAGGATGAAGGCCATCCTGAAACGTGCTTATCCTTGCATTCCAGTGACAATTCTACCTGAAGTCAAGGAGGAGATTGTGCCAGATCAGAGGTGGTCTGAGTTGCTTGTGACTCTCTATTTTGCGACGGTCCCAACTCCAAGTTTGCAGTGGAGCTTGTTGCGAACGGTACCATGAGACAGATAACGGAGCACGTGACGAGGGCGCTTCTTTACCATGATCAGCATTCAGCACAGGTTTTCATCATCAACTTCTGCATGGACAGGCCTAATGAACAACAGCATACTGTGGTTCCTGTTAGTGACTCGGTCGTTTTTATGTCCGTCAACTTTCGTCCCAGCGAGCGCATAGCAAGTGTCACCGTAACTGGCCAAAGAGGAGAGGAGGTGGTGCGCCTCAAGAATTGGAGAGGACGTATCTCGTTTAATGATAGATAGATAGGAGAGCTGGAAGTGTACTTTTCACTTCCAAATTTGACTTCTGGTTACTTGTGGAAAATACAAAAATCATCCTTCTATATTTAAAAGAGCAAGGGTGACATATTCAATCAAGATTCTTTTCAAGCTTAATGGTGGAGATTAAAAACACGTGGCAAAAAAAACAGTTGAGGGTTTTTTT